AGTGCTACACCCTTTTTTCACTTGTGCCTTTCAGGTGAACGACAGCCACTGAACGATAAGAACAAAACCGACCCGGGAAACTTGGGCAAAAGCCTCGATCCTGTGTATCAATCTGTGCATCCGTGAAACCTTGATCCAACGGGCCCTTAGTAAGCCTGCGTAATATCAGATGCGACCATACTCCAAATGAAATAAGCCAAGCACTGCGAAATGCGTTTCATAATTGACAAACGTAAAACCGACCCCCATTTTCCTTGCAGTTCGTTGGACACGCCCAACGAAGTCCACCTCTTCCTTCAGTCCTGAGCGAACAACTTCGTGGAGTATTCGAGAAGCGGTCTGACGTGTCCGGGAGTCCATGCGAGTAATAGGCGGATAGTTCGCCCAATTTTTCACGGAAGAGCCCTCTAAACTGACTTTTCATGATGGAAGGACATGAGAACAGCATTCTGGAATCGAATCAGATGCCTAAATCAATTTTGGTGTCTATCCTCGAAAGGATTTTGAGCCACTCTCACCATGCATGACAAAGGCGTTAACCGATTCTCCTCTGAATGACGTATGCACGCAAATTCCGTAATTTAATGGCGGTTGCCAGTCCAAAAACCATTAATTTGTTTCGTCCATATCCATTTGAATAGGACGGATATTTGAGACTTGTGGCGTTACGTACCTTTATTTTACTCCATTATAACCACTACTTACTTCATCAATTGCATAATCGTTTTTTTGTTTGAATACCAAAAACTACAAAATCGCGCACTTGTACAATTTCACAGAATACAAGCGTGGTCACGTGCTTCGACTTGACTCTCTCTTCTGATTTCGCTCGCGCTTCTAGCGGTAATTCACGAGTCTCATGTATCAACTCTGGGCCAACGACGAACTATTCTAATGAGAACCAAATCATCGGTGACTGTTCCATCTGACCTCTTTATAACTGTATACCCAACCTAGCGTTATTATTTTTATTTCTTTGCCACACACTCCTGGAAACCTGACTTATTGGGTAGCCAAACCACTACAAATTTGGTGAGCCCGACTATTTCCAGATTTTTTAAAGCTTTTCCTTTCTAGTCGTCGTAGTTTTGTTACTTTCGCCCGGCAATTATGGAGGCACGCCTTGATTCAGCGGGTTTAGTCGAGAATGCGATTAGCATACGTTTACCAGACTACAATCCTCGCAACCCCAGGGCATGGTTTCACCAGGTGGAGGCCGTTTTTACTACCCGAAGCATAACTTCCCATGCCACGCGATTTTCCTATGTTGTCCAGCATTTTCCTTGTGATGTAGCAACAGAAGTGGAAGATCTATTGGAAGATGTTCCCAAAAAATCCGTATGACGCCCTTGGAGCGGCCGTCATAAGTAGGACAGGAAAGTCAGAGAGCAAAATGCTACGTGATCTATTCACCACTGTCGAACTTGAGGACAGATCACCATCAACACTGCTTCGCCAAATGCGCAGTTTCCCCTGCGGCCGTAAGCTGGCGGTGGAAATCATGGCCCAACTGAGGCTCGACAAACTTCCACCCTCCATGTCCCGCGTCATCAGCGTGTTTGTTGATTATCACAGCCTGAAGCAGTTAGCCCAAATGGCGGATAAGATCCACGAAATTTACCCCAATGACCCCGTAAACTCCGTCTCCCGCCCTGCGCCCACTACTACAGATTCACACCAGCTTCTTGCTTCTATATCGCACCTACAGGCCAAGTTTGATGCTTTGACCGATTGCCTACAACGGTCAGAGGTCAACAGGCATCGACCACGTTCACGATCCAGATTGTTGTCACGTCCCCGTCCCCCTTGGTACTGGTATCAACAATCATATGGCCGAAAAGCACGCAAGTGTCAACCGCCTTCTTCCTTCAAGCCGCGTTCCAACACCCCCTTAAACACCTCGGCCAGTCAGTAACGGCGACGACTGTCTGTGGCCCTCCTCGACTAGTCGCCTATTCCACATCACCGATCGTTCAAGTGGTCTACGTTTCCTCGTAGATACTGCAGCTGAAGTTAGTGTGCTACCACATAAGAATCCACTTCCCGATTCTCTTTCTCCATACAAGCGGCTAACGGTACCCGCATCGCTACATACGGCGAACATTCCCTCACCCTTGACCTCGGATTGCGACGTGCGTTCAGGCGGATCTTCCTTTTGGCCGACGTCCAAACACCCATCATCTCTGCAGATTTCCTGACCCATTACAACCTGTCGATGTGTGACACAAACGTCTCTTGGACACGCTCACTGCCCACTCAGTCAACGGAATTAGTGCCCCAAATTCGTCCACAGGTACCCGAGTTACCTTACCAGATTCACATTTTGTTGACATGCTTAAGGATTTTATAACCCTTACTCATGCATGTCGGTAAACCCAACCGGTCACTCATTCCGTCGTTCACCACATTCAGACGAGAGATCCACCTGTCCATGCTAACCCCCGCCGACTTCATCCGGATAAGCTAGGAATCGCAAAACATTAGTTCGATCACATGCTCGAACTCGGCGTTATCCGCCCTTCATCGAGTCATTGGTCATCATCCCTACATACAAACCTAAGAAATCTAAAGGTGGTTGGAGACCTTATGGAGATTACCGTTCTCTCAACAACGCTACTATCCCAGACAGGTACGCCATCCCACATATCCACGATTTCGCAAGTACCTTATGCCACACGAACACCTCCAAACTCGATCTTATACGAGCATATTACCACATACCCGTAGCCCAAAATGGCGTTCCCAAAACAGCCATCACAACGCCGTTTGGCC